CCGGGAGGCGGAGGTTGCACTGAGCCAAGATTGTGCCACTGTACTCCAGCCTGGGCAACAAGAGTGAAACTCTGTCTGAAAACAAACAAAACCAAAAAACAAAAACATAGCCAGGTGGCCTGGCCCAGTGACTCACCCGTTATCCCAGCACTTTGGGAAGCTGATGCAGACAGATCACTTGAGGTCAGGAGTTCGAGAGCAGCCTGGCCAACATGGTGAAACTCTATCTCTATTAAAAATTTAAAAAATTAGCCAGGTGTGCTGGTGGGCATCTGTAGTTGCAGTTACTCAGGAGGCTGAGGTGGGGAAATCATGTGAATCTAGGGAGGTGGAGGCTGCAGTGAGTCAAGATCACAATACTGCATTCCAGCCTGGGCAACAGAATGAGGCTCTATCTCAAAAAACAAAAACAAAACAAAACAAATAGCCAGGTATGGTGGCATGTGCCTGTAGTCCCAGCTACTCAGGAGGCTGAGGTGGGAGTATTGCTTGAGCCTGGGAGGTAGAGGCTGCAGTAAGCTGCGATCATGCTACTGTACTCTAGTCTGGGTGACAGAGTAAGGCCCTGTCCCCAAAATAATAAATAAATATAATAACGAAAGGCAAAAGAACTAGATTAGCTGAAACAATTTTGAAAAAGAAGTGGGAGAAATCAATCTATCTGATTTTGAGGCTTCTTATGAGCTACAATAACAAAAACTCTGGGCATTTGGTGACGGGATAGACACAAAGATCAATGGAGTATAAGAGAGGACTCAGAAACAGAGTCACACAAGTACAGCCAAGTGATTTTTGACAAAAGTGCAAAAGCAATTCAATGGATGAAAAACAGTCCTCTCAACCAAATGTTGTTGGTTAGATATCCCCACAAAAAACACAAAACACTCAAATTTCATACCACATACAGGAATTAACTCCAAATAAATTATGGATTTAAATGTAAAACTTAAAAATTTTAGAGAAGTTCCTGGGCAAAGTGGCTCACCTAACACTTTGGAAAGCCAAGGTGGGAGGACCGCTTGACCCCAGGAGTTTGAAACCACTCTGTGCAACATGGCAAAACCCGTCTCTACAAAAAATACAAAAATTAGCCAGGCAGGGTACAGGCACCTGTAGTCTTAGCTACTCAGGAGGCTGAGATGTGAGGATTACCTGAGCCCAGGAGGCTGAGACTGGGGTTAGCTGTGATCATGCCACTGCATTCCAGCCTGGGGTGACAGAGTAAGATAATGTCTCAAAAAAAAAAAAAAAAAAAAAAAAGTGGAAAAGTACATAGGATAAAATCTTCAGAAATCTGGGCTAGGCAAAGAGTTCTTAGACTTGACACCAAAAGCAATCTAATAAGAGACAAAATTGGTAAACCAGACCTCATCAAAATTATAAACTTTGGTGCTACAAAAAACTTGTTAAGAAGATGAAAAAGGGGGGTGGGGGGTAAAGTGGCTCATGCCTATAATCCTAGCACTTTGGGAGGCTGAGGTGGGCGGATCTCCTGATGTCAGGAGTTTGAGACCAGCCTGGTCAACATGTCGAAACCCCATCTCTACTAAGAATACAAAAAATATCTGGGTGTGGTGGCATATGCCTGCAATCTCAGCTGCTGGGGAAGCTGAAGCAGAATTGCTTGAAGCCAGGAGACAAGGTTGCAGTGAGCCGAGATCCACTGCACTCCAGCCTGGGTGACAGTGGGAAAGCTGTCTCTAGGAGAAAACATCTGCCAACTACATATCTCCAACAAATCACTGGTATCTAGAATACCTTGGGAATGCTCAAAACTCAACAGTTAACAAAAACCAAACAATCTAATTAGAAAATAGACAAAAGATATAAACAGACATTTCATCCAAGGGAATATAGGGGCATGGTGGCTCATGCCTGTAATCCTAGCACCTTGGGAGGCCAAGACAGGAGGATTCCAGGAGTCCCAGACCAGCCTGGGCAACATAGCAAGATCCCATCTCTACTAAAAAAAAAAGACAACAGACAGATGGCAAATAAGCACCTGAAAAGATGTTCAACATCATTAGCCATCAGAAAGTTGCAAATTGCAAACACAGACACATTACTACACATCTATTAGTACAGTCACTCTAGAAAACAGTTTGGCTATTTGTTTAATAACTAAACATGTGCTACAACTTAGTGATTGTATTCCTGGGCATTTATCTTGGAGAAATGTCAATTTATGTTCACATAAAAACCTGTACATGAACGTCTGCAGCAGCCTTATTTGTAATAGCCAAAGAATGGAAACAGCAAAGATGTCCTTCAATGGATGAATAAACCAACTGTGGTACATCCATAGCCTGGATTCAATAAGAAGGAATGAAATACTTTTTCTTTTTGAGACCGGGTCTTACTCTATCACTCAGGCTGGAGTACAGCGGCGCGATCTCGTCTCATTGCAGCCTCCACAGCCCAGGCTCAAGTGATCCTCCCACCTCAGCTTCCTGAGTAGCTGGAACTACAGCAACTCACCACTGCACCTGGCTAAATTTTTTTTTTTTTTTTTTTTTTTTTTGGGTAGAGAAAAGGTCTCACTATGTTCCTCAGACTGGTCTCAAAACTCCTGGGCTTAACCGAACTGCCCACCTCAGCCTCCCATAGTGTTGGGATTACAGGCGTGAGCCACTGCACCAGGCCAAGGAATCAAATTCTGATATACACAACAACCTGGACGATTCTCCAGGGAATTAAGCTGAGTGGAAAATGCCAAAAGGCTCCTTCTATTTGGCATGATTCCCTCTATTTGGCATTCTTGACTTGCCAAAATTAGGGAAATGGAGAACAAATTAGTGGCTGCCAGGAGTTCAGGGATTGGGGGTGGGAGGAATGTGGGTGTGGCTTTTCTCATAAAAGCAACAGAAAGGATCCTTGTGATAATGGAAATATTCTGTATCTTGAATTTTATTAATGTCAACATCTGGTTGTGATATTTACCATAGTTTTGCACAATGTTAGAGAAGTGGGTAATGGAACACAGGATCTCTGTACTATTTATGACTGCAGAGAATAAAATTTTATGTATAATTTCTTAAAAATTTACAATTCTCCAAATGAATTTCTCAATAATTTGGACAATGATCTCAAAATAAAAATTACTTAAAAATCGAAAAACTAGATGATACTGTACTTTTTTCTCACCCTTTTTTTTTTTTTTTTGAGGCGGAGTCTCGCTCTGTCACCCAGGCTGGAGTGCAGTGGCATGATCTCTGCTCACTGCTACCTCCGCCTCCTGGGTTCAAGCGATTCTCCTGCTTCAGCCTCCCAAGTAGCTAGTACGGGTTTCTACCATGTTGGCCAGGCTGGTCTCAAACTCCTAACCTCAGGTGATCCACCTGCCTCAGCCTCCCAAAGTTCTGGGATTACAGGCGTGAGCTACTGCACTTGGCCCTTTTTTTTTTTTGGAGGCAGTGTCTCACTGTGTCACCCAGGCTGGAGTGCAGAGGTGCAATAGTGGCTCATTGCAGCCTGGACCTCCCCTGGCTCATGCCACCCTCTCACCTCAGCCTCCTGAGTAGTTGGGACTACAGGTGTATGTGGTATATGCCATCATACCCAGAGAATTTTATTTTTTTGTAGATGCAGGTCTCACTTTGGTTGCTCAAGCTGGTCTCCTTGAACTTCTGAGCTCAAGGGATCCTTCTTCCACATCCTTCTAAAGTGCTGGGATTACAAACGTAAGCCATCATGACTGGATGAAACTGTACACGTCAAATGGGTGAATTGTATAACATGTGAATCATCTCAATAAAGCTATTATTTAAAGGGAAAGAGTAATTGAAATGTGAAAAATCCATTTAAAAATAAAGGAGGGGCTGGGCTGGGTGGCTCACGCCTGTAATCCCAGCACTTTGGGAGGCAGAGACAGGCGGATCACGAGTTCGAGAACAGCCCAGCCAACATGGTTAAACCCCGTCTCTACTAAAAATACAAAAATTAGCCGGGGTGGGTGGGGTGGGGGGGGGTGGTGCCTGTAATCCCAGGTACTCTTGAGGTTGAGGCGGGAGAATCACTTGAATCCAGGACGGCAGAGGTTGCAGTGAGCCGAGATGGCCCCACAGCATTCCAGCCTTGGCGAAAGATGGAGACTCCATCGCAAACAAAACAACAAAAAATGAGCATATGCTGATCTTTACTCAACTTTCCAAGATCTAGTCTTCAGCTAATTTACAAAACTACAATAGTGTTATATACTCTCCTTTCAGGCAGGTCCACACGGCAAGCACGGTTTGACTGCCGCAACTCGTGCTGCCTTACAAAAAAAGGCTTTATCCCATGCTACCCATTCTAAAGCCAGCTCTTCAGAGCAGTGTACCTGGAAATCAGCCTCAAAGGACGGACTGCAAGACAAGACACAAAGAAACCCTAACACGGAGTCCTCTGTTCAAAGGGACGGCAGGTGGGACGCACCCTGGTCGGGGCGAAGGCACTGCAAGTATTCCATTAAATCTCAGTAAATTACAATTCATATTCACGTCTAATACATTTTCGAGGGAAAACGGTGTTTCTACGGGAAATAAGCTCCATCTCGGCCAATCTGCTCGACCCAACTTTGGGGAGCAGCTGTGCGGGCGACGCCAAGGTCTGCGCCGTAATCCAAACAGGCAGTCCCACCCCGGGCCACCCCGTGGCTAGACGCTCCGACGCGACTCGAGCAGGCCACACTGTCTTTCGGACAAAGCGACGCGGTCCTCACAGGCGGGAAGGAGAGTGCGTCCCGGTCGGGAAGGACGCCGCCGAAGAGCGGCCTACCCACGTGACACCCGCGGCGACCTTGGGGTCACCCTTGCGGACGTACCGCCCTCTCCCTCACATCCGCCGCCGCGCCCGCCCCCCCGCTCGCCCACCGCCAATGGCGCGTCGCTCCGCGCCCCGCGCGACCTCGGAGCGCGCCCCTACCCGCCAATCTCCGCCCGCCGGGCTGGCCCCGCGGCGCCATTGGCTGCCACGGCCGTCCATCAGGTTCCGTCCCTCCCACTACCCTCCGTCAGCCCCACTCCGACCAGCTCCACTCCCCTGTCACCGCGGCGCCCGCAGCACCAAGGGCGCGGCGGCCTCGCCCTTTACCGCGATCTCCAACCCCGGGCCGCCAAGCACCGCGCCTCCCGGCATTGAGCAGGGCGCGGTGACAGCGCACGGTTACCTGTCTCCAGCTCAGCTCCACCCGAATGAGGCGCCGACACCCCACTCCGGGGCTCCAAACTCTCGGCCCCGCCCCGGCGTATGGCGTCAACACGTAGCCCTCCCCTGGAGAAGAAGGCCCTCCTCTCCCGCAGTGGACGGATTGGTGACGTCACAGAGCGGCGCCGGGTGTCACGGCGCCGACCGCGCAGTTGCAGAAGCCAGGGCCGGCTGGAGCCCAGCGGTTTGCTCCGCTAGAGAGATAAGATTGAGTCTGTGGACTTCCGGCGGCTTCTACGATCCTAAGTAATTTCGAAAAGTAAGATATCTCTAGCACCAGTAGGAACTTATCAAGAAATAGTTGGGTTGATGTGAAACTTATCAGCGTACAAAAATAAACAATTTGCTTACAGAATCTCCTGCTTTTTAGCTTGTCCTGGGTCAGGCTTTGTGACAAGCGCTTCACCGGCACTATTGTGTAACAACCTGTGAGATGGGTGTTCCTATACCCAGTCTAAAAATGACAGTAGGCAGTGCTGGGGTCTTGCCCGGGTTCTCCTGACTCCAGAGCCACCTATCAAAAATAAAGGGCGGCTAATTAACCTGTCACAACCTGTTGATTGTAAGATGCTCCCTATTTTAATTTTTACTCTTTTTTTTAAGATGGGGTTTCACCATGATGGCCAGGCTGGTCTTGACTCCTGACCTCAGGTGATCCACCCACCTCGGCCTCCCAAAGTGCTAGGATTACAGGCGTGAGCCGCTGCGCCCGGCCGATGCTCCCTATTTTAAAGGGAATTCGGGGAAAGGCCGGGCGCGGTGGCTCACGCTTGTAATCCTAGCACTTTGGGAGGCCAAAGCAGGCAGATCACTTGAGGTCAGAAGTTCGAGAACAGCCTGGCCAACAGGGCGAAACCTTGTCTCAACCAAAAATTTTAAAAAGCCAGGCGTGGTGGCGGCGGACGCCTGTAATCCCAGCTACTCGGGAGGCTGAGGCAGGAGAATCACTTGAACCCGGGAGGCGAAGTTTGCAGTGAGCCGAGATCGTGCCACTGCACTCCAGCCTGGGTGACAAAGTGAGAATCAGTATCCAAAAAAAAAAGAGAAAAAAATGGGAAAAATTATCTTAGAATTGATTAAATATGGCAAATTATATTCAATAACATATTGAGAAAGTCCCTTGTACTTCTTCACCCTTCATTACAGCCAGGAGAAAACCTCATTTCATATCATGTCTTTAACTTCACTTTTTTCTTCTTTCCCTTTTTGACAGAGAGAGATCAGACCTTAGGCTCAAAGCTTTCAGTGGGCAGTAATATTATATAAAGTTAGAAACTGCTTTTCATGATTTTGGTCAGTTTTATCTTTGTTGTTTGTGGCAAGTAGTACTGATTTTCTTTACATTAAAAAACGTTTTCTAATAAATGGTTCTATCTAAAGAAACTGTTAACTGTTATAGATACTGTATGTATAGGAAGGTGGCATCCAAATGACTGACGTTAAGGAAACACTGTTCCAGACTGTCTTGAAATGTTCTCTTGAATATATTTTCCCAAGAAGATAACTACTTAAAAACAAGGATAGTGTCATGTGGTAGAGCAGCAGATATTGGGGTGGCAAGGGATAGCGATCCATCAAGCACGACAGTTCCATGGAAGACACAAATATCTCAATCTGGGCCAGTATTCAGACCAAGGCTATGCCACCCACAGGCGGGTATGATATAGACTTAGAACAATTATGAAAGAGGAAAAGCAAAGAGGTTTTTTTTTTCATTGTTTTTTAAATGTGGAAGTGTAAGTGCTTATTAGAGAATGAAGTTAGGCTAATGTATGCAACAAGGATTTAGAGACTGGAAGAAAGTGAAGAGATCAAGGAACAAACTTCAGTATTCTTTTTTCCTTTTTAAAAAATAAATTATGATGAAAATGTATGTATTAAAAATTTGCAGTTGGCTCCAGTGGCTCACACCTGTAATCCCAGCACTTTGGGAGGTGGAGGTGGGAGGATCGCTTGAGCTCAGGAGTTTCAGTTCAGCCTGGGCAACAGGACAAGATCTCATCTCTACTAAAAATCAAGAAAATTAGCTGGGTATAGTGGCACTCACCTGTAGTCTCAGCTAATTGGGAAGCTGAGGCAGGAGGATCTCTTGAGCCTGAGAGATCAAGGCTGCAGTGAGCTATGATTGTGTCACTGTACTCCAACCTGGGCCAGGGAGCAAGATGCTGTCTTTATTATTATTGTTATTATTATTATTTAAAATGCCATTTTAACCATTTTTAAGTGTATAATTTAGTGGCATTAATTACATTCACAGTATTATACAACCATCACCACTTAATTTCCAAAACTTTTTCATCACCCGAAACAGAAACTCTGTAACCATTAAGCAATAACTTCCTATTTCTCCCTCTCCTCCTGTCCTTCACCTCTCCTTTGGTAACCTCTATTATGCTGTCTCTATAAATTTGACTACTCAGCTATATTATGTAGGTGGAATCATACTGTATTTGTCCTTTTGTGTCTGCCTTATTTCATTTAGTATGATGTTGTCAAGGTTTATCCATGTTGTAGCATGGGTCAGAACTTCATTTCTTTTCTTTTTTTTAAAACAGGATCTTGCTCAGTTCTAGGAGTGCAGTGGCACGATCTCAGCTCACTGCAACCTCTACCTCCTGGGTTCAAGTGATTCTCACGCCTTAGCCTCCTAAGTAGCTAGGACTACAGGCACGCTCTACCACTCCTGGCTAATTTTTTTTCTTTTTTCTTTTTTTTTTGTTTGAGTCAGTGTTTCACTCTTGTTGCCCAGGCTGGAGTACAGTGGCACCATATCAGCTCATTGCTGTACCCCCTCCTCCCAGGTAAAGCAGTTCTCCTGCCTCAGCCTCCCCAGTAGCTGGGATTACAGGTGCCTGCCACTACACCCAGCTAATTTTTTGTATTTTTAGTAGAGACGGGGGTTTCATCACGTTGGCCAGGCTGGTCTTGAGCTCCTGACCTCAAGTGATCTGTCCGCCTCAACCTCCCAAAGTGCTGGGATTACAGGGGTGAGCCACCATGCCTGGCCAGAACTTCATTTCTTTTCATGGCTGAATAATATTCCTTTGTATGTATATACCACATTTTGTTTATTCGTTCATCTATTGATGGACACTTGGGTTGTTTCTGCTTTTTTGCTATTTTGAATAATGTTGCAGTGAACATTGGCTTATAAATGTTTGATCCCATTGTGTTACCAAGCAATGGGCTTACTGCTAGACACACATAGAAGCCAATACTATGTCATGAGCTTTTGAGAAAAGGCTTCATTGTAAGATTGACCAGCAGGGAAACCAGAGGCAACACTCAAATTTGTCTCCCCGAGATGGGATCTGGGGACAGGTTTTATAGGCAGAAAGCAATTATGAGGGACATGGGAAAATACAACAACGCATGATCTGTTCGGGTGATGCAAAGAGGCAATGCTGGATCTTTGGTTTTTTTTTTTTTTGAGATGGAGTTTCGCTCTTGTTACCCAGGCTGGAGTGCAATGGCGCGATCTCGGCTCACCGCAACCTCCGCCTCCTGGGCTCAGGCAATTCTCCTGCCTCAGCCTCCTGAGTAGCTGAGATTACAGGCATGCACCATCACGCCCAGCTAGTTTTTTTGTATTTTTAGTAGAGACGGGATTTCACCATGTTGACCGGGATGGTCTTGATCTTTCGACCTCGTGATCCACCCGCCTCGGCCTCCCAAAGTGCTGGGATTACAGGCTTGAGCCACCGCGCCCGACCTTCCTGGATCTTTGGTATTTAAGTTCATACTGCAGCAAAACAGGGTGCCCCTTGCTTTCTAACTTGGTGTCCATTCCTCCATTTGAGTGCTTAAGTCCTGCCTGTGGTTGACTTTTGTGTTCCCACCAACACCGGGGTCAGCTGTCAGGCACACTTGGTTCATCTGGGCATGCTCAGGTTACATGACTTGCTACCTGGGGATCTATTGTAACTGAAAACCAACTTATCATTTTGTTATTGATAAAAGTTGAAACAGGCTGGGCGAGGTGACTCACACCTGAAATCCCAGCACTTTGGGGGGCTGAGGCAGGCAGATCACCCGAGGTCAGGAGTTGAAGACCAGCCTGGCCAACATGGTGAAATCCTGTCTCTACTACGAATACAAAAAAAATTAGCCAGGCATGGTGGCGGGTGACTGTAATCCCAGCTACTAGGGAGGCTGAGGGAGACAAATCGCTTGAACCAGGGAGCCGGAGGTTGCAGTGAGCCAAGACCATTGCACTCCAGCCTGGGCAACAACAACGAAACTCCGTCTCAAAAAAAAAAAAAAAAAAAAAAAAAAAGTTGAACCAGATTCAACTGGTTCTGTGATTACTACACCTGTTTATAATTCTTTTGCCTGTTTACCTGTGAGTGTAATTGTTGGGTTATATGGGTATTCTGTCTGGCTTTTTCAGGAAGTGAGAAGCTCCCACAGTGACTGCATCTTTTTTTTTTTTTTTTTTTTGAGACGGGGTGTCAGGTTGGAGTGCAGTGGTGCAATCACAGCTTATTGCAGCCTCAACCTCTGGGGCTCAAGTGATCCTCTCGGCTTACTCCTAAGTAGCTGGGACAATGGGCATGCACCACCATGCTGGGCTAATTTTTTATATTTTTTGTAGAGGCAGGCTCTTGCTGTGTTGCCCGGGCTGGTCTGGAAGTCCTGGCCTCAAGTGATCCTGTTGCTTCAGCCTTCCATAGCGTTGAGATTACAGGTGTGTCTCTATTTTTTTTTAATGTCTCTATTTTTTAAAAAATTATTATCGGTCAGCTGTGTTGCCTCACTCCTGTAATCCCAGCCTTTCAAAGTCCAAAGCGAAAGGACTGTCAGCCTGAACAACATATCAAGACTTTGTCTCTACAAAAAAAAAAAAAAAAAAAAAAAAAATTAGGAGTGGTGACACATGCTTGTAGTCTTCCCTGTTTGGAACACTGGGTCAGTAGGATTGCTTGAGCCCAGGAGCTTGAGGTTGGAGTGAGCTGTGATCATGCCATAGTACACCAGCCTGAGCACAAAGCATGACCCTGTTCCCCCACTTCCCCACCTTCCCCCCAAAAAACATTTGGCAAAGCATAGTGACTTATGCCTGTAATCCCACCACTTTGGGAGGCTGAGTCAGAAGGATTGCTTGAGGTTAGGAGTTTAAGATCAGCTGAGCAACATAGCAAGACCTCAAAGAGGTGGCATCTCATTGTGGTTTAGAAATTATTATTTATTTTTTAGAGATGGGGTCGCACTTTGTCACCCAGTCTGCAGTGCATGGGCACAATCAGAGATCACTACAGC